CCCTGGTGGGCTGAGCTGGCCACACACACACACACACACACCACACTCTCTCTCTCTCTCTCTCTCTCTCTCTCTCTCTCTCTCTCAAATAAATAAAACAATTAAAAAAAAAAAGATCTGTTTAAATAATTAGCAGCCTGTTCAGGAAATCTCCTAAGTCATCATGCAGGCGCTTGGTGAGAATGCAGACGGAGGAAAGACTCACCCCAGGCCTGGTGCGGAATTGCAGCCCTCTCACGGTTTCACGAGACTTCTGGAGAACCCTGGCACAGGGCCATCTCTCGCATTTTGAACTCCCCTGGGTGTAGATGAGCGGAGCCCTGCAGACTTGTCGGGAAGGTGCTGGATTAGTGGAGGGCTGGCAAGGAGGGATGAGGTCACTGAAGGCACTTGGGAGGCGCCCACAGCCTCACCCACCCTCGAGGGAGCTCGCCTGCACCCTGGATGCCACTTTCCTTAAAGCGACACTGCAATCCTAGCAAGCAGGTCCTCGGAGTGCACTTTGGGAAGCAGAGATAGCAGTCTCAGAAAAAGGTCAGTGAAACTGCATCCTAATTAAGATATAGATATAGGTATAGGTGTAAGTGTAGATATTAGAGATAGAGACAGAGATAGAGATGCTGAAGTGTACTTTGAAGGTTAGCCACATCATCACGTAGTAAAAGGTAGAAAAACACAATCACACTGGTGTAGGAATTCCGTCAGCCTGTCAGCTTCCCAGAGCTCTGATTCCTGAGAAGAACCTACTTAAAACACTCGAGGATCAGTAAAGGTGTGGATCTTGCTCCATCCATTGTATGAAAGGAAAAGGGCGGATTCACAGAATAAGACTTCCAGATCTCCCGTCCTTGCTTCCCTCAGCCCATGCTGCTCCCAAAGCCCTTTTGAGAGCAGCCTGACAACAAAGGGAGCAGAAATCTTGGTGTGTCAGGTATGTCCCCACACTGGGTAGCCACACAGTGAGTGCCTGTAGGGTCAGAGGTGGCCAGGAATACAAACGTGGGCTATGGAGTTGGTCTTGGCTCTAAACCTCAGCTCTGATCCTGCGCTGCTCCAGCCTTGGCCAAAGTCCTTAACCTTTCTGTGCCTCGACTTCCTCACCAGCCCAGTGAAGTAAGTTTTTCACCACACAGGACTGTCGTGAGCATTGAATGAGATAATGTCATGTGTTGTGTTGTACTGGACTTGGGTAGCTTCTCCCACTGGTGGTTCCAGGGCTTCAGGTCAGGGATGCCCAAGGACTGTGACCCAGGGAAGTTATTCAGTAGATGCTTCTGTAGTGAGCCCTGACTGGCCACCATGTGAATGGACATTCATGGAGATTAGGGACCTAGGTGCACCGTTCTTTGGCTATGAGACCCTGGGCAGATGCTTCACCTCTTGAGCTCCCATTTCCCATGATTAAAGGGGAGGCAAATCATAGCAACCATGTGAAATCATATACATAAACACCATGTGGTAGTCTCTTTACCTTTAGATTCCCTTAGATCCTGACCTCGGGCTCCGCTTCCCCAGCCCCCTAACCATTTCACGTCCTTCTCAGGCATGTGACTCTCTCTTGTTCTAGTTAAATTTCAGTGCACCTCCCATTATTCAGTGACCTGCTCCTCTCCTGACATGCAGGGCAGCATTAGAAACCACATGGAGTCGGGGAGATAGCTGAGCGGTCTAAGTACTCACTTAGCAAGCACAAGGACTAGGGTTCAACCCAAGGTACTTCATGCCATGCCTGCCCCAGAACCCTGAGTGCACTGTGCCAGCCAGTGAAACTGGGTGTGGTGGTGCACACCTGTAACCCCAGCACTGGGGAGGCTAAGACAAGAGGATCACTATGAGTCCAAGCTGTGTAGCAAGACCCTGTACAAAATACATAAAAAATGTTTTTAAAAAGAAAGGAATCACCTCTCTGCTGTGCTGCCGACACAGTGTGCAGACTTCTCTTGCACTGTTGCACACTCTTGCTATGATAATTGCTGTGTCCCCCCCCCAAAGCATGGGCTATAATTTTCAGTCTTATAGTCATAGCTTTGAATAGTGTAGTACCTGGGAGACATTCAGCACTCAATAAGCATTATGGAGGACAAGAATGATCACAGAACTATGCAGCATTGGCCCCCGTGTGGAGAAAAATTTGTTTTGCCAAAACTCTCTCCCTATTGGATTGTGAAGAGAAATTCTTTGGTAGCTGTTTTGGGTTGTCCAGCTCGTGGATCTGCCTGCCTTAAAGGTAGACTACACAATAGCATAGACATTGTAGGGTTTTCTGAGGCTGATCACAGTATGGGCTGAATTGTATCCTCTCAAAATTCATAGATTGAAGTCCTGCGATCTAGTACACCAGAACACAACCTTACTTGGAAATAAGGTCTTTAGAGAGCTGATCTCTTTAAAATAATATATTTAAGTATAAGAAGTAAAGCCATGGTGTTATGTTGAGCTATAGGGAACTCAGGTCAACAATTTCTGACATTGCCAGTGAAGCAGAAGACCCAATACTATTATGGACTACTGAACTCTTTTAGAATATTTTGCTGAGTTTACACACCTATAATATTCAATAACGGAACTTAGAAAAAATGGGGTATGCCTATGAATGTCCATTTTGTATCTGTGTATTCAAAGTGGCTAGGTTAGATATATAGTTATATTCTCTTAATGAATAGAGGAATTTGTTCTAATCATGTTTGTAAAAAGGATATCAAGTCTGCATCTTGTACAGCAATTAACCACTAGGAAGAATGTATGCAATGTGTTAATTATTGAAACTGTCCTACCAATTTGGTTTGAAACTGTCTCACTGCTATTTGTTTCTCAATAAGATTATGGAAAAAAGATAAAAATAAATAAAATAATATATTTAATGTGGTCACCAGTCTAGGATGACCAGTGTCCTTCTGAAAGAGAACATTTGCATGGTGGCATCTGCCTGTAATCCCAGGCCCTCAGAAGGCTATGGCAGGAGTACCACAAGTTCAAAAGCAGCCCAGGAAGCTTAAATTAAATAAACTGAAAATCAAATAAGAAGTGTTGGGGATAAAGTTCAATGGTAGAGCACTTGGATAGCATGGGTGAAGCTCTGAGTTCTTCTCTAGTACCAGAGAGATGATAGATAGATAGATAGATAGATAGATAGATAGATAGATAGATAGATAGATAGATAGATTGGTTGATTTGGACACCAGTAAGCTGGAGGGAAGAATATGAAGGGAATTAAGTGAGACGCCCATCTAAAGTCCAAGAAGAGAGGCTCAGGAAGGTCCTCCCCTCAACCCTCAGAAAAAGCCAGTCTTGCACACATGCCAATTTAGACTCCAAAAGCGTGAGAGGATTCCTTTCTGTTGTTTAAATCCGACAGCTTTGGGACTTCACAGGAGCAGCCCTGAAGCCAGGGGCATGTCTAACACCATGGGCATGGGCGGAGTTGGCCCTCATAGGGGGCCTGCCTGGACTCCTGGACCCGCCCCATCCGGGGATTCACTTAGCCCAAGCAGGGTGTGTGTGTGTGTGTGTGTGTGTGTGTGCGCGCGCGCGCGCGTGCTCGCACTCTTAGGAACCAGCATGTCTCTGTTTCCACTTTCTCTTTGATGCGAAGTCTTCTCAGCATTATGGTGTGTTTATACATACGGATGTGATGTTGTCTCTTCAGGAAGGTAGTAATTGTTCACAAGATTTTTTAAGTATATTCCTATATATTTTAAGTGTTGCTGTATTTAGTGTGTCTTGTGAACGTCAATAAGAAACAACATTTACAAAAAAAGAACAGCAGATTCCTTGTTTTGAGTTTCCACTTCAGAGAAGCTGAAGAAAATGCCAAAATAATATGCAAATATTAATATGCCATATGTAAGACTTCTTGGAATTTTTTTTTTTTTTTTTTGGAGCTGTCAACACAATTCTGCCTCCTTGTCATTATTCCCGAGTGTTTATGACTTTGTAAATAGAATCCACTCTGTCTTTCATTATACTGGGAACATTCCCAGTGCAGCCTGACTCCTCCCCATCATGTCTTGGTTTGTTGCAGGAAATTTTGACTGGGTGGGGAATGACTTTACCCAGAATGCCGGCACTGGCCTCGTCATCAACCAGGCAGATGCGAGGAACAACAGAAGCATCATTAAGCAACTTAAAGATGTGTTTGAAAGGGACTGGTATTCACCTTATGCCAAAACCTTACAGCCCACCAAACAGCCGAACTGCTCCAGCCTGTTCAAAACCAGACCCCCTGCCAACAAAACTGCCTTGGACACCCAACTCGAGGAAGTAAACTGATCGTCGGCATTCATGTTTTCCTATTTATACACCAAGGACTTGAGGAGAGAAAAACAATTTAATATGTCTTTTCTAGGGGAAAAAAAAGCACACATTAAAACAATTGAATGATATGTAACATCTCTAGCTAACAATATCTTAGCACCATGTACTAGCAATTTAAGACTTTTGTACTTGTTACTTCTTACAGATAATGTCATTCTGGCTTAGAAGTTTGTTTTTATGTTTGCATACAAAATGTAAGACTTTGATTCCTGTTTCCTGGTCCTTTCTGGTTCTAGAGCCCTTTCTGCTGACCACTGCTCAGCGCTTAGGAAACTTAGCATGAGGTGAGCTCTTTTCTTTAACACCATTCTTAGCACTGCTGATTAGGAGAGGAGGGTGAGGACCACACCGCAGGCAAGACCGATAAATCCTAGTACTTGCCTTGGTGAACCATCGCCAAAGCCTACCCGCGGCCCGACACACACACACAGCTCACATCTTGCACCAGCCTTCAACACTCTGGAAGAATACCCTTTTTGTATCTTCACTCAGCATCTTTTTAATATCATAGGTTTTATTTTACCATTTTATCTTCTCACAAAATATTATTATAGAGCCCCAACATTAGTCCCAAGTATGATAGCATCTTTTGAAAATGAATGAACTCCTCAGAATGGATACAAAATAGAAATAACCATCTTTAATTTTCACCTCTCAACTACATTCTGCCCCCCTACCGAATTGGTTCTTTAAAAAACACAGCCTGCAATAGGCACCTTTTTTCTCAAGCTCAGAAAAATGATGTAGCCACCTGCTAATATCCAGCAAGCTATTCAGTCTGCATTTTGAGAACAATGTAGTTTTCCACACTTTTTGTTTAGTTTACAGTATTATAATGGAAAGGTCTTGATGCGTGAGTGGATTTAAATTTCTTTATAATCATTATGCTGTTAAGAGTATGCCAGCAAACGTTTATAGAGCTATTTAATATACCTTCTGCTATTTAATATACCAAATGCTTTTCAGAGAAATGCAATTTAAATACTGTGCTTAACATATTTTACTAAGAAACAGAAATATTGGATTATTGTTCTATAATGTCATTGTGTGTTATTTTATATCTATACAATATATAACCACATATGAATGGAAACTGTTGCTACATAAGATCCCCAGGCAGGTGGCCTGGACACCCACACCAGTGTGGCTCCTGGCTGGGGGGCTCAGCACAGAGCCCTTCACTCCTTAGCCTGGGGTCTCTATTGCAAATGTAGAGACAGAAATACTCACCTACCTCGCAAGGATGTTGTCATGGTAGGAGATATTTATAACTTGTTTTGAAATCAAAAGAACCTATATAAATGCTAAGCATTATAATGTTTAATCTTTTTCTTGAAATAATCTTTGTGGTATCCTGATAGAATCAAGACCAGGTCTTCCTCAAGAACCCAGAAGAGGAAACAAGTCCACCACTTCCTGTCACAAACGTGGTGGCAAGAATGCAGTGACACAAGGAGACCTGGATTGTCAACATCTGGACGGAACATTTTTGTTGACTCACTTTGGCATAAACGATATCAACCCAAAACTAGACATTGTGCCAGGGGTTGTTCTTTAGGGCCAGCATATCCGTGTGTCTTCAGAGCAAAGACGAGTAATTTCAACCATTGTTTTTCATTTCTCGAGGCTTGCCTATTGGGATCGCTCTAGGTAGAATGACTACTGTTGGTCACCAAGTGGTCACGTTTCTTTCTAATGTTGTTTCATTTGTCCCTTAGCCAGCCAGTCAAAGCTAGAAGGACGCTGTATGGTTAAGGCTAGTGCACTTTTATAGTGTTGGGGGGATTCTTAATGGAATTCTTCATCAGTAATGGCCAATACCTAAGACTCCAAAGATGCACCATATGCATAGTCCTTCTTTGGGTAAGGAGTTCTCTTCCTGTCATTCAGGTAATGGTGGCTGTAGTGATGATTTGAAAATGAAAGAACAGAGTGGTGACAAGCGAACCTACCAGGTTCACCCTGGGATAAACAAAAAGGTTGGGCTTGAAAAAGGACATCTAAGGGGGGAAAATGGTTTCCTCCCTATAGTGTAGGCCTAGAAAAATGGCCTACACTCTTGCATCCATGTCATAGGAGAAGAGGATGTCATCCTTTAGGAAGTGGTCATCTTGCTGTTTACTTCTGAGCCCCATCAAAATGATGTCCCAGGACCTGTGCCCCCATGTTTCTGCCAGGTGCCAGCAGCTTCAGAATGCTACAGAACACAGTGACATGCTTCACCAAGGTAGTCAGGTGGTAGACGCAAAGCTGGCCTCCTGCACCAACCAGGAAAATGGGCCCCATGCTGAGAACACAGCTCAGGTTCTCTCCTCCTAAGAGAACCTCCCTTGCTATAGCAGTTCTATCCTTTGAAGGCTCTGTCTCCCCCTCGAGAGGTGGCCTTTCTATCTTTGTATCTGTGCTAAATAGATTACTAACTTTCATCCCTCCCATTATCAAACATCCCAGGAAATACTTCCCAAGAGAAAAAGAACTAAACAAAAATACTTTAATCTGAGATTATTGGATAGATGTCTATACCAGGAATTTTAGGAGGATTGTGACTACTAACCTTTTTTTTTTTTTCCCCTCCATAAACACTTCAGAAGTCATTTCCCAAGGGGGAGGAAAAAGGAAACCAAATACAATTTGAGACCAAATCATATTTTGAATTCCTCTGTCACTAACACTAACTTAGTGCCTTATTTATTCTGAAGTATTGGTTGTAAGCAGTGACTCGCCACATGAAGACGCCTCCTACTCCAGAGTCTAGTGTGACCATCTGCTGGGCCAGCCTATGAGAAACTTATGCATGAACATCAACGGTTTTGATGCAGCCTGTTTCCTTCCCACCCCAAAGGATTTATCACCCCAAAATCAAATCACTGAAACATATCACCAAATATCAATCCTGCTGGCCTTCACTGCATCGTCACTGACCCTGGCAAATCACAGCTTATCAGATCATGGGAAAGGAAGGAGAACTTTCTGAGCTTTTACCTATGCTCTGTAAACGTCATATGTTGGGTACCTGAAAATGACAGAAAGGAGGCACACTGAAAATGGCCCTGCTGTCTCTAACAAGCCTTGTAAAGGGGATTTTCGTAGACTTCCACATCCTGTGGAACATATGTAAAGTGAAAACTAATGTCTTTTAAAAGTGAGAGTAGGAAAAAAAAAAAAAGTCAGAGTAGGCTAGCTCAAGAAATAAAAGGTCTGTGGAAGGAAAACCTTTGCATTTGGATAGCTTTGAGCACCCCTTTCCCTGGAATCTGTGCTGGGGTTTGTCTTGCGTCTGGTTTGGTTCTTAGATGAGCCAGGTCACATGTTGGGCTGGTCTTACCCTTTTAAGAATGTGTTTTCATGAATGCAGTTACCGGTCTGTTCAAAGTGCCTCGATGGGCCCAGGACTGACAGAAGTATGTCTTCCACCAGCTTGCGGCTGTTCTCAAGTGACTTCAATCCATTCTGAGATCACGGTTTATTGGTAGAAACTTTTATTGACCTAAATTCCAAGGGAAAATTAAAAGACTATGAGAATTTCTTGATAGAATCAGATCCAAGGTCCATCTGTCTCAGGAATTCTGTCTGGGAATCTGACCACCCACTCACCCCCCCCCATACATGTGATCATTTATGTGTTTCTCAGTCCAAAATTCATTTTATTATTTTTTAACATTTAACGAATGTAAAAAGATGCCTTTAGCTGCAGCAGAAGAATCAGGTCCTATGATGAAAAGATATTTTACTACTAGAGATTCAGATTCACCCCCTAAAAGTATCTATTGTGGATATCAATTTTTCCCCTATGCTTGTTACCAATATACTGGTGCAATTCATTATCAAGCTTTTAAAGGAGAAACTAATATAGTTCTCCCTTGGCCTAGGATAAATGGAGTAAATTAATCCACATTCAAACATTTTCCTATTTGCTATAAACTAACCTCTGTCCTTTTCCTTTTAAATGTTACTAACCAAAGAGCTGCTTATTTTTACCTTACTGGCTAAATCAGTGTAAGGCTTTCACTAGCCCTCAAGTCAACTTCACTGAGATTTACTTTCCATTTGAGAGAATTCCCATCTTTGGCTGAATTATGACAATACTACTTTTTACAGTGACTTGCTTAGATATCCTCCAGAAAGATACCTTAAAGCTGTAAAATCTTACTTTTCTTATTTTCGACTCATTCCAGTCTTGCACTTACAGGATTATAAAATACCGCTGATTCCCTAGACTTCTTTTGGCAACCTAACTAAAAGAAATGTGAAATTTGGCAGGCCATTATGTATTTTCTTTTGCTATGTTTAACTATTTACTTCTAATTCTGTTGCAAACAAGCTCTTGGAATTTTTAATGTACCTTACATAAATAGGATAAACATGTACCTGGACGTATCTATATTATTAACATTCTGATCACTAACTAATTTGGTGAGATATAGGGTTCCATTTGTAGGGAATCATTAAAATGATCAAATCTTTCCTATAACCAGATGCTCAATTATTTTCAAAAGTAAATTTATGCAGTTGATTCAAACTGTAAGATGCAGCATCTCTTTTTCTTCTCAGCTTGATCTCAGACACAAACTTGTCCTCCTGCTAGTACAAGCGACCAAGTAAATGTACCCGGCCCAACAGGCTGTGGGACAACAGGTTTGTATATTCACCCAACAGACACTTTGTAAAACTACTCCCATCCTCTATACCATTTGTTTCTACTATTGCTGATGTGGGGAAAATAAGTGATCTCTTAGTGAAGAAATAATTACAGAGAGTGCAAGCTACCCTGTGGTCCTTTGACAGAAGAAGTACCTGTGGATGCAGCTCCCTCTCATAGTCATCCATTGCTCTGTCTTTTCTAGGGCTAAAATCCATAATCAGAGACACTTGTGTCTTCTCAGCAAACCCATTTGGTTGCTATATTTTTACAGTGTTGGGGATCAAAACCAGAGCTGCCTAGGCAAGTGCTCTGTCACAGAACTGCACCCTGCCCCCAGCCTCAGCAAACCCGTTCTGAAATGGAGACTTGGAGCTCACCTTGAAAGCCAACTCCTCCAAAGGTACACATTTGCTTCCCATTTGGCCACTTGGAAGTCCAGGAGAGTGGAACTCGGTGCCTTTATAGGGCCCACAGGATCATGTTTGGCTGACGTGCTATCATAATTTGGATTTAAGGCAAAGATTGATCTCTGAAAGAATATGCATGGCATGTGCATATGCTGATACCCTTCTTATAAAGAGAAGAAATCCGTGGAAGCACACTTTGTTTTAAAGTTGTCATTTCCTAGTTTAGCAAAGGTTTAATAAAGTGAACTTTTCAAATCTGCCATAGTCAATAATTTCATTTGATTGGAAGTTTCTGGATCTTATAATTTTATGGGTTTTAATTAAGCTAATAGTAATTTCATGAGATGATCATGTGCAAGGGCCCC